TTGTGCGACATCACCACCATCCATTTCCAGAACTTTTTCATCTTTCCAAACTGAAATTCTATCCTCAATAAACACTAACTCCCCCTTCCTGTCTTCTCTCTCCCCCAGCAATCACCATTCTACTTTTGTCTGCAGGGATCTGACTACTCTAGATGCCTCTCTAAGAAAAATCATAAAATTATGCATCCTTTTGTTTTTGGCTTGTTTCGTTTAGCATGTTTTCAAGGTTCATTCACATTGTAGCATGTGTCAGAATTCCCTTTTTAAGGCTGAATAATATTCCATTGTATGTATATTTCACATTTTGTTTATCTACTCATTCATCAATAGACTTGGGTTGTTTCTACCTTTCGGCTACTGTGATAATGCTTCTACTGACACAGGTGTACAAATATCTGCTCACGTCCCTATTTTCAATTTTTTAAAGTATATACCTTCAAGTGGAATTGTTGGGACATAAAGTAGTTTTATGTTTAATTTTTTTTAGTAACTGCCATGCTGTTTTCCACAGCAGCTTCACCATTTTACATTCCCACCAGCAATGCACAAGGGATCTAATTTCTCCACTTGTTATTTTCAGTTCCCCGCTTAACCAGTTTTCTTTTTCTCCGTAGCCTTTACTACCTCTAATACTGTAATACTTGCTTATTTATTTATATTGGCTACCTCCCACTAACTAGGATGTAAGCCTCTTGGGAACAGGATGATTTGTTCATTGCTATACCCTGAGCACCTGGAATACACCTTAGTACATAGCAGGTGCTCAAGAAATTTGTTGAATAAAGAATAAAACACTTGAATCACACACAACAACTTCAACAGGCCTTAGAGTCTGTTAAATAGATTTACCACACCATGTGCCTTAAACTACATCCAATTTAGAAATCTCAAAGTTGAATGGGTGACGGTTTCAGTGGTGTATTTGGCTTATCCTCATTAGCAATCATCTCAGAACCACAGACACCAAGACAATTGTAAGGAAGCACAGGAGTTATGTCATTCACATCACTGACTTCAAGCCTTAATTGCATTCACCAATTGAGCTATGTACAAACTTAAAACAGCAAAAATGAAAAAAAAAAACAAAACTGCATGCACTTCTGGTTGACAGCCTGCAAATGCAATGTGTTTTGTTTTAAAAAATCAAACAAATAGTAAACAAGATAGACACTGGCCTTGCAGAGACTCCTTAATGAGATGTAGCCAAAGACAGCTTGACCTAGAAACCTAACTTCAGGCCTACTTTTATTTTGGCTGTTTTTTCTGTTGTTCATATTTGGTGCTTGTTTCATTTTGGTTTGTTTTCTAAGAGCTGCTTGTGAAGAAATCAGACAGAGTTTCCATGATATCTTTATAAATGAGTTGAAAACCCATGTGATGTTCCCCCGCCTCTGGAAGTCAGTTGGTTGCACACCATTGGATTAAAGGTTTCTTTTTTATCTTTCTCTCTGCCCACTCTCCTTCCTCCCTGTAATACCAACACTCTGATCTTCCTCACTTGAAAATATTTTGAAGAAAAAGACTGCTGATCTTTGTGGAGTTCATCTATCTCTTTTTTTTCTAAGCAGCCATTCCACTTCTCTTTCCTAAAGAAAAGACGCCAGTTCCCTCCAAAAGACAATCACTTTGTTTAAAGCGATACCATTGTCAACCCCAAATGACTTTCACGGGTCTCAATGCAAGAGCCAGAGTAATTCATTTAGAACATGAAGAACTTTCCCTGCCTGATAAGAACGATATCTTGAAAGGATTTTCTGTTCTGATTTGAATTATTCAAAGAGCAGATTGTACTTTCAACGTACATGTGCATATACACACACACACGAACTTGAAAGAAAAAATAGAGAACAAAAACATCTGCACAACTGGCTGCAAAGCAAACTGGAAGGTATATGAAAAGGTATCAACGTTTCACATTGCAGACTAACTGCAGTTTAAACTTTCGAATTATTCAGATGGGGAAATGCCTGATCCTTTTAACCTACTCAGATGCTTTGATGTAAATAATCAAGGGGTATTTCAGCCAGGAGGTGAGCCTAATGCTTAACTTACATAATGTTCCTTGTGGTTTGGTTTTGTTTCTTTTTACTCTTCCCATTCAGGTTTTCCAAAATGAACTCATTACAACATCTAATACCTCCTCAAATATCTGCACTCTTTTATCCCTATGTTTGTGGCTACATCCTTTACTTCTTATATCAATGTTAAGTACTATTTCGTCATTGGTGGGCTGTAAGCAAGTTATTTCACCAATAGCAGTAAGTTTACCACTTTTCCTTGCTTCCCTCTCACCACCACCATCCCCAAATCAACTTAGGTCCATTTGTGGGATGCAGTGCAGCCTCACCGCCTGAGGTTATACCTTGCTCCTACTTTGTACTAGCTACTGGGCAAGTGATTTCACTCTCTGCACCTCAGTTTCTTCACTTGCATCTGTTGCACAGGGTTTGTGAGATACATTGCTGTGGACCCGGCTTACAAGTACTTAATGTGTCCATCTTATTATTTTTAGCAACCAGTTAGAAAACAGTCTGTGGACCAGTTTCTCCTTGCTGTACAGCTAATTCTGAAGAGGGGAACTGGACCTAATCTTTGGCTTTAAGAGCACCCACACAGCCATGTGAGTCAATAAAAGAACTTCAAGAAGAAACTAGAGTTCTCACATCCAAATGCTTCTCACTCTGCCAGTACTCCTAAGGATCTTATCAACAGGAAACAAAAGCACTATACCACTATAATGAAGTGTCTGACTTTTATTTTCTCATTAGAAAAGCCCAAAGATTGTAGCCCAGGGAACAGCTAAATATTTAGAATGTTATAAAAGTTACAAAGACCCAGCCACCCACCCTTACCCACCTCTGTTACCCTGTTATTTACCATGTTCCTGAGCATTTTAGGAGAAAAAACTTTTGATGGCCAAATCTGCAGCAATAGTGATGTACGTGCACCCGCTGAAACCTCCCACTCTTCAAATGCAGTCTGACCATTTTGGGGAAAAAATAGGAACTGTTGTGTTTACAGATAAATGCTGCTCTCAGCTCATATTCCACCACAGGCCCCAAAACAACAGGGCCCTGCCAGATTCCTTGACTTTCAGGTGGCTCGAGTCAAGGGCTGGATGCTACTATCTTAAGCTCCAGTAACTCACTTCCCTTTTTAAAGTTCTAATTCTTTCAACTTGCAGCAACCACTTTCATTTCTTGCAATCCAACCTACTCTGATTAAGCACACGTTCAAAATTAGAAAAGAGTGACTATTTTTTGAAGGAGAGAAGCAGTTAATATTGCTTACACATCTTGGCATATGAAATGCACTGCGTCCTTTAGAATTTAAATAATCAGCACGCTTTTCAGACCGGCAATGGGCCGCCGTTTTATTGCTCCATTTAATGGCCTTTCCCCTCCCCGCCTCTTTCATAAACCTTCAGGCTCCTTCAGTTCTGAGCTACGTCCAAGAAACGGACAGTCCACTGGACCTCTGCTCCCAAAAGCCCTCACCAAAGGCAGAGGCAAATTTTAAAGGCTGAGCCACGGAGTTTCTTTTTCTTTCTTACCCCCCAGCTCACTGGCGATTTAGATAGAACTTAAAATAGGCTTAGGACAAAAACTCATTATTGACTATAGCACTCAGGCTTCCACACTCACCTGACCCGGGTCAGGCACTCTGTTGCCAAAACAAGCCCAGCGAGGGGTGCAAATCCTGCTCCTCTGTAGTCAGCTCCTAAATATTTAGAAAGAAAGAAGACTGAGTACCAGACCGCGGAAGATGAGTCTCTAACAGAAGTGCTCCAAATTACAAGTTTCCAACTTCTTTAGCCTCCTTCCCTGGGGAGACCCCTCCCCACCCCACCCTCCAATTTTGGCAGGCAGGTTGGTGGGATCGCTTGGGCGACGATTACAGGTAACTACTCTTATTTCCAGGATGTAACTGACAAGTGAGACTAGGCACGCACAAACTTCGAACGTGCGGGAGGCTGGAACTAAGGGAAGTGTTTGGCAGATCCCAAAGCACTTGTTTCCCGGTGAGGAAGCCAAGTATCCGAAGCCCGCATCCTCACTGGACATGAGCTTCGTCCACACTTCATCCCTCACCGCTTCCCCGGTTTTCTTCCGTTTTTAAAAACCCTCCCCACGGGGGCCCCCCACACATGCATTATTCTCCCAACCATGGAGCGCAAGAGAGGGCTACATTTTTAGAAAGATTATTTCCTTGAGCAGGCTCACATATGACACCCCCACAACCTCTCTCCGAGAAAAAAAAAAAAAAAACTATTTCCTGCAGCTGCAGCAACAGTTTCCAACTTGGGGGAATGCCACACCAGTCCGGAATAGGGAGCCCCCAAAGCCACGCACTAGAGTCGAGGATATTTGTTTTTTAAGCCTCAAATGAGCTCCTCCAAAAACACTGCCCGCAGTAAAGGAACCCCCAAATGCATGCCAAGTGCATGCACATCCATCGATATCTCCCCGAGACCGGGGCAAAAACTTCTGCGCCGGGGGAGCCAGTGCCAACTCCCCGCGCCCTCTGCCCGGCCCCAGCCGCTACCTTGGTGCCCGGGGAGCCACGCCGGTTTGGGGGAGCAGGGCGAGGAGAGGGGTTAGCAGCCGCTGGGTAATCCCATGTCCGCGAAGAGGGAGCTCGTTCCGTTAGGATGGAAGCGGAACACCCACACCTCCTCTCGGCGTGCGCTTTCTCTCTCTCCACCCCCTGCCTACTCCTCCACCACCACCTCCTCCTCCTCCTCCTCCTCTCCTCCCACCCCAGCGAGCTTGAGGAAACGCTTCAGCAGCACATCCACATGGTTACTGCACTTTGAAGCGGCTCCGGGCGTCTTATATAGGCCGGGAAGCTCCCTGGGCAATGTAGTCCGAGTACCGGGTGGTGGCGGCGCCTGAGGCAGCGGGGAGGGACTACAAGTCCCAGAACCCCCTGGGCGCCCGGGCTGGGCCCTAAATAGACGCGCGCGGGGACAGGGGAGGGGCGTCCTGCGAGGCTTTCAGGCTGCTTGTCCCGTACCTTGGCTGGGTGGGTAGGTCTTGGAGCCTGCTATCCAAAACCACCCCTGGGAAGCGCCCGCAACCCTTGGGGACGCCTCTCCTCCGGCTGCCCCCCTTCCCTGGAATCCAGGTGTCACTGGGGCCGGGGAGGGGCTAGGAGCTCGGATTTCTGCTTTGGGAAGTTTTTACAAGCCCACCCTCCCCCTGCCTTGGGTCCCGAGCCAAGAATTTCAGAAATCCGGGGCACAAAAACGCCAGTGTTTGCGGTCAAGGATTAAAGGCGCGAGGTTGTCTTTATTTAATCTGCTCCGCCCTGCTCGGGTTTGCACGAAAAACCAAGCCTGGGAGCGACGGTCCACGCAAGCGGAGACACAGGCAAGTCGCGTGAGAGCACTTTTCTGAGCCCGAGTTGCGTGTCTTTTGTCGCCCCTCAGGAGGTAAAGAAACGCAGACCTCTCCGGTGCACAAATAAAGGAGCCGTGTTGTGACTTGCGGGCTCTGAGATTGGGAGGCAGAAAATACATACCGCGACCTCAGTCCTGACCCTACCTCTAGCAGTCCCTCTGCTCCTGGGAGCTGTAAATGCTTAAGTAAATAAACCGCAAACCAGAAAAATAAGGGCTTGGGAGAGAGCCGCTCACAGAGAGATGCGCGTCCAGGCGGGGCGCTCTCCAACGGCTCCGACTGGGGCGAGGTGGGTTTCACCCGCTGCCAAGTAGTGCCTGGGCTCCCGGGTTACGGGCTGCTTCGGGCTCCGGCTTTTGCCGGAGGGGAGAGCTAAGCCCGGAGGCAGTCAGCCGACTGCCCTCTCTTGCCTCAAATGACGTATATTCATTCCTCAAACGTTTCCTGAGTGTTTACTGGGTGCCAGGAGCTGGGGCATAGTGGTGAGCCAAACGCATTATAGCATCCCAGACAGGCACTTCCTGACGCCGCCTAAAGATCTGTTATAACAATAGTAATAATAATGATAATAATCAATGGAGAGGCTGATTTTATTGGGCCCAGACCACACGCAGTTTTCATACTTCATGCTATTGAGTTTCACCAACTATAGGTATATTTATTATACCTATTTGGCAGGTGCACAATCCGGGGCTCAGAGAAATCAGGTAACTTCCCAAATGACGCCTCGAGTTAAGTGGTACAGCCTGGATTCCGGTTCCATACTCTACGTGTATCAAACCCTTGTCTTTGGGGAAATCCATCACCATTGCCTTAAATAGCCTCTCTCCCCATTTTAGGAGCAGCCTCTGAGCCCTTGGGCAAGTCATTTTCATCTCTTTGCCCCAGTTTTGCCATCTTAAGGAGATTCTCATTAGAATATGTCTACTTTTTAGCAGGATTCCTTAATATAGAGTCGAGTCTTATGCAACTTTAGGAACAAATTAGAGGAGCATCATATCTAATAGTTATTACTGACATAATGCCAAAACGAATCACAATTATTGACATTTATTGGATGAATGCCATATGTCAGGCATTGGTCTAAACTCTTTCTGTATAGCACCTAATTAAATCCTATTAAGACTTTTTTTTACTTATTAGAAAACTGGGGGTGGCAGGGTACAAAGCGGTTAAATTGCTTCCTCCAAAGTCACACAAATAGCTGACTCTTGAACCCTAGACCTAAACTACTACTCTCCGCTACCTCCCCAATGTAAACACGTGCACTGCATTTACCTGCTCAGATATGCATTTAATACCAGTCCAAGAAGGGGCAAAGCTCTTGAAATAGACAAAGTTTGTGTTCACGATATTCGCTCCTGCCCTCCCTTCTCTTTCAGCATTATCCCCTGGTCACTGGGCGCTGGAGTCTAGTGCCTAATACCTTAAGCTGCCTCTCCCCATCATCAAGAAACTCCCGCATCTGCCATATAAAGGAAATATTTCTCATTCACCCCCTCTCATCTCTTCCCCCATGATAACTTCTTCCATTTTCAAAGGATCTTCGGCTCTACTTTTCAAGCAAATTCAACAAATCAGTGTATGCCTATGTAACTGGTAAATGGTGAAAGGTAATTATTTCATGTGCTTCTAACTCAGAAACAATGGAATATTAACAGGGGTTTTCTGAAGATCCAGTTGGACAATTTTCATCTTCATCATATAATGGACATTTATCTCCTACCTGTCTTATCCACTGTCTTCCCTTGGAGACCACAAATTTCACTGAAGGCAGCATCTATGTCTTATTCATGCTTGTGCTCTCTACCTCCCCTGACTCAGAAGGACTTACTCTTCTTTCTGCACATTTTAGTAGATGTTAAAAAAAAAAAAAAGTTTGTTAAAAAGATGTTTTAATGGAAGGTGTGTCAGGCATATGGCAAGATACATGACCATATTTTTGGAGCATGCACACCTTGTAGCCCATCTCTATCATAGCCTGTTTTCTCTGCCTGTGTGTATGGATCATCCTATTCAACATTTTGTAAGGTCTAGAAGCTCTCCCCATCATCAAGAAACTCCTGCATCTGCCATATAAAGGAAATGTTTCTCATTCACCCCCTCTCATCTCTTCCCCCATGAAAACCTCTTCCATTTTCACTAGGTCACTGGAAAGTAATTCTGTTAATTTTGCTATGATGTGAACAGGTTCTCTATGATGATGTATGACTGATAAATTATGATGATTAATGTCAGAATAAAAGAATCACTGCCTAACTCATTCTCCATTATCAGTAGAGGGAAAGGAGCTGCTTTCTCTTCACTGTATTTTTTTCTAGAAGAATTTTCTATCCCTGTGTTTTCCAGTACAGTGACTGCTAGCCAGTTAGGCACGTAAGATGTGGCTAGTTCTGCGATGTGAAATAGATGTTAAACACACATTGAATTTCAAAGACTTAGTACAAAAAAAGCAAAATATCTTAATTTGTATAGTGATTACATGTTGAAGTGGTAATATTTTGGATATTTGTGTTAAATAAAATAGATTATTAGAATTGATTTTACCTGCTTTTTCCTTTTTTAATATAGCTACTAGGAAATTAAAAATTACTTATGTAGCTTCTATCATATCGTATCATATTATGCAGGGCTGATGTAGAAAACCAGGAATCTGATTCCCAGGATCACAATTCAAGATGATGACCAGCTCATTAAGATGGCCATTTATGACTTTGCCCTTGAAATGTTCATGCAGGGAACTAGAAGGGCTTTGCAAGGTCAGTACAGTATCATAGACTGAGCAAAAGTCTGAAGAAAGTCCAAAACTAGCACTCAAGCCTACCTCCACGGAAGACCTACAAATAGAAGCATGGTTCGTCAGCAGTACACAGCTGAAAACTATAACTGAATTCATCTGCCTAGAAGCCCACCTCAAATGCTGCCCTGGTTAAGAGAGCAAGATAAGCTGGAGAAAGGAGGGATTGGAGAAAATCGTTTTGACACCCAGCTGTACCATTTATATCCTGTTTTGTTTTGTTTAATAAAGTGATACTAACAATCCTTGCCTTGTCAATCTCACTGGGTCAGTGGGTCATAGGACATGAAAGGGCTTTGCAAACTCACCCTAGCTATACTAAAGAAAGAGAACATTATCAACAAGAATGAAGATAATGTTAATGTGTCCTGATACAGTACTCAGTTCCAAACCAAACTTCAGATTAGTGGGGCAGCCCTATTCCCAATTTTCTCTCAGGCATAAGATTTCAGTTGCCTATGGAGTGTAATTGGATTGTAACTCAAAGAATAAATGCTTGAGGGGGATAGATACCCCATTCTTCATGATATGCTTATTTCACATTGCATGCCTGTAACAAAATATGTACCCCAAAATATATACACCTACTATGTACCCGTAAAAAATTAAAAAGAACAGAATCACCTATGAATGTCACGATGAGCCTTGAGTGCTTTAATTAATAACGCTAAGTCACGTTTAAATGGCAAGAAAGAATGTCCAACACCCAATCATAGAATTCAATCTATATTTTGGCGCTGACACTGTATTTTCTAGTGTGATGGACTACCATTGACCATGGGAAACATCAGCAAAGAGAAATAGCTACTGTATAGCTAGTCCAACTTGTCTCTCTTGGTCATTGTTAATGTTTTATGGTGGAGGGATAGGGTCACAGCCCTCATTGAAACTCATAAAATCCATGGACACTTGCCCCAGCACAACACAGATACTGCAAATTTCTGCACCAGTTCTTTAAGTTTCTTGTACCAATCCTCTAAAAACCATTCATAGATACCCCCACAAGCTTAGATTATATTTCAGCTCCATTTTTCGGTGATTTCTATCTCACCATTCAGATAACCTCTTTGAAGATAGGGACTAAGTCCTTTAAATACAGGACCCTTTGTAGCATCTAGTTCTGTTCTGGATACAGAGTAAGCATTCAGCACTTACTGGCTAATTGGAACTTACAAAGTTGACCAGAAGAAATGACCTGCAGACACTTAATCAACGCTACTTGACATGGAAAAAGTGGAGTTGCTGTTCGAACAAGGGCAGGAGAGAGGAGAGAGGACAATTTGGTATGGAGCTATAGAAAGTAAGATGTTTTCTGAATCCAGGCTCTAGATGTCCTGTGAGAATGACAGAAGACACAGCAAGAGGGCCTATTTTTGTTATCCTATCTCTGAAGTGTGGAAGAAACTGCTGGTCAGTCACCTTGTGAGTGGAGGGAACATGGACAAAATGTCAATAATTTAAAATCTGTAAGGCAGCATGATAACTACAAAATAATGCAAAAATTAAGGAGTTCCTAGTACTCTATGCTTTATGGAAGTAGCTGCTATACCATCTCTGATGATTGCTGCCAGTATTGTCTAGAATCACGTAAGCATGTAAAGAGAACTATTACTTTCTTATTCATTATTTTCCTGTAAAACATGCAGAGCCAGGGGTCTATTATTAACTACCCCATCTCCTGCCTCCCACCTGCAAGACTGTCATCCTAAATTGCTCTAGTAGACAAGCTAGATCTGGAGACTTGAAGAAATCTTGGGAAAGGCTTTTTTGTCTTATCTTAGTGTTTAAACTGAAATGAAATCTGCGTATCAAAGGAGAAACATAAAGCTCTTCCTTACAGAATAATTCAGCTAATACATGTAGGAGAAATAATAACATTAGAAAATCACCATTTTGCAGCTTCCAGTATAATGATTTATTTAGATAGGCCAGGCACAGTGCCTCAAGCTTATAATCCTAGCACTTTGAGAGGCCGAGGTGGGCAGATGACTTGAGCCCAGGAATTCAAGACCAGCCTGCGTAACACGGCAAAACTCCGTCTCTACAAAAAATACAAAAATTAGGTGGTCATGGTGGCATGCACTTGTAGTCCCAGCTACTTGGGTGGCAGACGTGGGAGGATCACCTGAACCCAGGGATATAGAGGCTGCAGTGATCTGTGATTGTGCCACTGCACTCCAGCCTGGGCAACAGAGTGAGACCCTGTCTCAAAAAATAAATAAGTAAATAAATCAGGCAGATTATCAATAGATGCCAAACGTGGGGAAAATGTTGATGAGTATGTGGTCCTAAAAATCACTCTATACATCACACATGAATTCTGAAGTGAAAAATGGACCTTTACAGTAAAGAGATAATGGCAATCACCCACATGATTCACCCACGTAGCCATGTGATCAAATTTATTACCAGCAATACTGGGACAACTAGACACAATTTACATACGTATATGATTCTATAAGAAGTACACAACATCACATATGAATGTTCTTGCCAAAAATATTTGTGAGGAAGCACTCAAACAAACTCAGAATGCAGGACATTCCACAAGACCATTGGCCTGTATTCTTCAGATAAATCAGTGTCATTTAAAAAAATATGGCAGGAGGATTATCTAGATGCAAATGTTTAAAGTGATGCATTTGGTAATTACGCTGATTGGATCATTATACTATGTATACATCCATTGAAACATCACATTTTACCCCATAAATATGGATGATTATGTGTCAATTACAAATTAAAAATTAAATTTAAAATAGAGACTGAAACAAACTTTACAACTAAATGCAACATGTGACCTTTGAATTTTGGATTAAAAGAAACATTAAAATGAATCTATAGAAGACTTTTTGAGCAACTGTAACAATTTGAATATTATAAAAATTGTAAATAATTTTATTAGGTGTGATGATAGCATTGTGGTTATGTATGAAAATGTCCTTGTCCTCAAGAGATGTATACTAAAGCATTTTGAAGTAAAATCTCATGGTATCTGAAACTCACTCTCCAAAAATGTGTGGTGGCATGCACCTGTAGTCCCAACTACTCTGGAGGCTGAGGCACAAGAATCCCTTGAACCCGGGAGGCAGAGGTTGCAGTGAGCCGAGATCATGCCATTGCACTCCAGCCTGGGTGACAGAGCAAGACTCTGTCTCACAATAAATAAATAAATAAATAAATAAAATGCATGCCCATTTAATCTAAAAAGTATATATTTTTATGTTTACACTTACCTATCTTATTCAAAAAATTATCTAAAATCTCGCCACATTCATAGAAATGTTGGTGCCCATTTTTGTGATAGTTTTACAGTTATGCTGGAGAAATAATTATTTTTTACTTTTGAAGGTGATAGCCATGTTTCAACAAATGATTGAAAAATCTACTCTTGGCTTTTTGGGTAAAATGCAGAACAAGCTACTTACTATAACTAAGCAACTTTTGTGTCAGTCTCCAAGTTAGGAGTAATTGTATTTATTGCAGTATTTCCTTCTTAGGGTCTTTTCAAATCAACCAGAAAAGCAAAAAGAATTATGCATAAGAAAAGGGAAATGGAAGGCCAGGCACAGTGGCTCATGCCAGCACTTTGGGAGGCCAAGGCAGGAGGATCATTTGAAGTCGGGAGTTCAAGACCAGCCTGGGCAACATGGCAAAACCCCATCTCTACTAAAAATACAAAAATTAGCTAGGTGAGGTGGCACATGCCTGTAGTCTCAGCTACTTAGGAGACTGAGACAGGAGAATCTTGGAACCCGGGAGGCAAAGGCTGCAGTGAGCCGAGACTGCACCACTGCACTCCAGCCTGGGCGACAAGAGCGAGACTCCATCTCCAAAAAGGAAGTGGAAAACTTGAGTATTGCAGGCTTCATCTTTCCCTTCTCCTGTGAAAGTTTTTTAATGATCAACAGACTTAGTTACTAAACAGGGCAGTGAATTCCACTATGTAATTCAGTTACCAGTGAAGTGAACTTACAGCTTTTTTCACTTGCCATGCTCTATCAGTGTAGACTCATGCAAATTAACTGCTTTCTTTTGCTCCCACTTAATTTTATTTCGTGATTTTTAAGTAATATTTCCCCCTCTAACTTTAGCTTTAGGATATAGGTAACCTGTGTGATGAGTTCAACCCAGAGAGAGAATTTGAGTCAATCCTTTATGAAACAGATCATTTAGGTAGGGTCAGCCCAGGGAAGTGGGATTGGAGTGGTGAGGAATAGGTAGGGGGAGTTATTAAGAACATTTTGTTGATTGAATGTCTGTCATTATTAAACTGATATTTAATGGGTACCTACCTACCCTACCGGGTGCTACACTAGGCACTAAAAAGACTGAACAGAATGCAAAGTACTTTTGCTCTCTGCCTTTTTCTTGATCATTACCTTTCCTACAGATGAATTTCATACATGGTGCTTAGAGGATGACAAATAAGACTGGCTGCTTTTTTATCAGCGGTTATTGTCATCAGCTGGTCTTTCATGCCATTTCCCTCCTTGTTTCTTCTTTCAAGTAATAGTTTGCAGACCTAGTAGTTGTGACCTAGGAAACAGCTAGGTGCTGTGGTCCTCTGATCTTCCTTGGTTTCTTCACCACCATCCAGGCACCTGTCTATTCACACTGGAATATTTCTCCATTATAGGTCATATTATCAAGATGATTCTTTGTCACTAAAACATTTATGTTGGATATAATATAGCGAGTGAATGAGGGAAATAGCTTCTTCTAAGTAGTTTCTTTGCTCAACTCTCCTCCAAACAAGCCCTTTTATTTCAATTTTTAACTGTGTTACCGCTTAGAAGGAAGAAGGGGAGGAGGAGGAGGAGGAAACAGAAAGTGCATCGATTTAATTTAAAAGTAGTCTAAGTCTTACTCAATACCTGAAATACTCTAAGAAACAGAAGAAGGCCATGGCTCATGCCTGTAATCCCACTTTGGGAGGCCGAGGTGGGCAGATCACTTGAGGTCAGGAATTCGAGACCAACCTGGCCAACATGGCGAAACCCCATCTCTACTAAAAATACATAAAAAAAAATTTCGCTGGGTGTGGTTGCACACACCCAGGAGGCTGAAGCAGGAGAATCACTTGAACTTAGGAGGCAGAGGTTGCAGTGAGCTGAGATCATGCCACTGCACTCCAGCCTGGGCAACAGAGTGAGAGTCTATCCAAATAAAAGGAAAGGGGAGGGGAAGGGAGGGGAGGAGAAGGATTGTCTATCTTAAAGCACATTAACCATTCTGTAAAGAT